CTGAAACAACATTCATTTATCAGAAAATATTGACAATAAAGTAAATCAAGCGTTGTTTTTATCAAACTTGATTCGGACGTTCATAATTACGGCGTATTACTACTGCGCAACTCTGATCAGATTAGTACTTTGATTGGCTATTGCACACGAAGTCCCGCCTTTATGTGTTACAGACGGAAATTTAAAATGTCGGAAAAAGCAATCTACTGTCGCTTTGATTTAAAAAGAGGGGATTTGTACCCGTTTCAGGTAGGATTATATGCTTAATTGTAGTTGAGTGTGGCAGAAATATTATAAATAACAATAATCAATCGTTGTTTTGATTAAAAATATTGTCAATTTTGTTTACAAATGCCGGATGTGAATCGCTCTCGCATGTGCTACGTTAAAGGTAATAGCATCATCTCTTATCTCGAAACACGGATGGTTGAGAGATAAGGTTTGTTATCTAATGGTCCACAGCTCGAATCCGGGTGCTAAGAACTTTACCATGATATAACTCGATACGCCAACACAGAAAGTTACAGAAATTTGGCATGTTCTACTTTATGCATCTGTCGAGTTGGTGAAATAAGGATCTTGGAGCAACCAAAGCTAGTTGAGAAGTTATTTTGTGCGCAGTGAGCCTACCCTAACCCCCAATATTTTAGTATGTTTACGGTAATATATCTCGAAAAGCCAACTAGGAGCCACCAAAGGTAGTTTAGAAGTTATTGCGTGCGCGACGAGCCTACCCTAGCCCGATTCCACCCATAGTTTTAGTATGTTTACGGTGATATATCCCGAAAAGCCAGCATAGGAAGCTTTTGAAATTTTATATACTAGTAGTTTATTCATCCCTTGATTCCGTGTAATAAAAAACATTTTGCCACCAAAGCTGGTTTGGGTGCTTTGTGATGCAGCTTGGGCGTACCCTTTGTTTTTTGAACCCATGGTGTTCATACCTTATGCATCTGTCCAGTTTGTGAAATAAGATCTTGGAGCCACCAAATCTAGTTTAGAAGTTATTTTGTACGCAGTGAGCCTACCCTAACCCCCAATATTTTAGTATGTTTACGGTAATATATCTCGAAAGGCAAACATAGGAGGCTTCTCGAATTTTGCAGTCTAGTATATTATCAATCCCTTGATGCTGGTTTTTTTTGGCGGGGGGGGGGGGGTCTATTATTACATATTAGAAAATAACATTTCAAGACATATTAATGCAAAGTATATATGTAATATGTCTTGAAATGTTATTTTCTAATATAAAAGTAACAATTATTTTCGTGATAATGATAGCTAGTTTTTTTATTGGCGCTAGGAATATGTGTGCTAACTTCATTTCGAATCCGGGTGCTGGAATACGGTTTGAGAGATTCCGCTCGGAGCTTAGACCGTTCTTCCCCTGGACTCTTCAATTATGACTTCTGGTCCACAACCTTGATATACTATGGCCTTTATTTACACTATTTGCTTACGAGGGGTGGCCATTTTGTCCGGCAGTTTTGGTCCAATTTTCACGAAATTGAACTCAGCCCACATTGGAGTGTAACGGTGATTCTTCAAACTTTTTTTTCAATCGCATAAAAATTGTGACCTCTAGTGAGACCACAAGCTAAAAAAAACCATGATTTTTCGTACAATCAAGGGCCATAATTCAGGAAGTTACGATCCGATATGCACGAATATCTAAAGGAACCGAGATCGTTGGGTTATAACTTACATTTCAAGTTTCATCAAAATCAGAAGAAAATTGTGACCCCTAGAGGGTCCACAACCTTGATATACCATATTTTTACGCTATTTGAGAACGAGGGGTGGCCATTTTGCCGGTCAGTTTTGGGCCGATTTTCACGGAATTCGAACTCAACCACCCTTAGGGTGTAACGGTGATATACTAAAACGTTTTTTTTTTTAAATCGGATAAAAATTATGACCTCAATAGGGTCCACAAGCTAAAAACATGATTTTTCGTACGATCAGGGGCCATAATTCAGGAAGTTACGGTCCGAAAAGAACCAAGATCGTTGGGTTATAAACATGCATTTCAAGTTTCATCAAAATCGGATCAAAATTATGACCTCTAGAGTGTCGACAAGCTAAAACAGCAATATGTCTAAAATACATGTGTAGACAATTATAGTACAATGCAATAAATAACATACTTAAATATATAATATACACTCTAGAAAAAAAATGACCTAATTACACAGTATATTTTTCTTTATGTTTAAAACATGCATTTCAAGGTTCATCAAAATCAGATGAAAATTGTGACCTCTAGAGTGTCCACAAACTAAAAACATGATTTTTTTTTTCATACAATCAGGGGCCATAATCCATGAAGTTATGGTGCGATATATGCCATTATCAAAAGAAACCAAGATGTTTGGGAGATAGACATATATTATAAGTTTCGTCAAAATCAAATAAAAATTGTGACCTGTAGTAGAGTGTCCACAAACAAATTGTGGACGGAGGATGAGAATTATACTGAGCGCCATGGAAAACGCATCACTTTTTTTTCCCAAATATTTTATTACTAGGTGGTTTTGTATGTATAATATTATACAATACTATGAACTATTGTTTCACACAATGCTCCCAAACGCTCGGCCCGTGTGCAAAAAAAAAAAATTGCGCGAGATGCACATGAAAAACCCAATATTCACGTGCAGCATTGTGTGTGAGCCCTTTAAAAGCATGTTTTCAACTTAATGTGCTGTACATGAACTGTGAAACGTCAATCTGTCGTAATTTGTTGTTGGACATGTGAAGGAATCGAGCTAGAGATGCCGAGACTTACTGAAAATCAACGAAATGAAGCCATGGGAATGTCCAGGGCTGGCATGTCTACACGTGCTATTGCCAGACACTTCAATTGTCATCAGTCCACTATAGTAAGGTTGGTGGAACATGTTCGAGTTACTGGATCAACACGTGACCGTCAACGTCCTGGTCCACAACGCGTTACAACCCAGGCTCAAGACCGCTACATCCGGGTCACTCATCTGCGTGACAGATTCCGCCCAGCGACTCGAACAGGTGCAGCAGTCGTCGGAAGACAAGTACCAGTTAGTGCCAACACCGTAAGACGTCGTCTAAGAGTAGGACTGTGCACGAGACCTTATGTTGGAGCTATCCTCAGGGATCATCACCGTCAGCGGCGTTTGATATGGGCTCAAGGACAAAAGATATGGAGAAGAGTAGACTGGCAAAGTGTGCTCTTCAGTGATGAGAGTCGCTTTCATCTTTATCACGCTGATGGCCGTCAACGTGTGTGGAGACGTCTTGCAGACTGCTGCGTCTTCGAAACGAATCGATGGGGTGGGGGAAGTGTAATGGTGTGGGGAGGCTTCACATTTCATCACCGGACCGCCCTACACATTTGCAGGGGTCGCGTTAATGCTGTAGCCTACCGTGATGATGTCCTGCAACCAATTGTTGTTCCGATGTTTGGAGCGCACCCACAACTTCAGCACTTCCAACAGGATAATGCACGTCCGCATAGTATGGACTACCTGGCTGCTAACAACATCAATGACTTGGACTGGCCAGCCATGTCTCCGGACATGGCACCGATAGAACATGTCTGGGATGAGATTGGACGCCGTCTGTATCGGAGACCACAGATGCACACCCTAAAGATGATCCCTATTGACACCCAGGGGCAGATCCACCCCCAATTTTTGTATTTGTCTGTTGCCTACAGGCTGCAATTCTTAATGGATCGTCTTGATATCTGGCATATGTATTCCTTATAGCCTAAAGACGGCAACTATTAATTTTGGTGCATGTGCCTAATCCCAGGGGCAGAGCTACACCCAATTTTTCAGTTTATTGTATACAGGCCGCAATTCTAAATGGATTATCTTGGAAATTGGCATATGTATTCCTTATAGCCTAAGGACGACAACTACTGATTTTGGTGCATGTTCCGACCCTACGAGGCAGAGCCAGGCCAATTTTTCAGTTTATTGTATTGTATACAGGCCGCACTTCTAAATGGATTATCTTGGAATTTGGCATATGTACTCCTTATAGCCTAAGGACGGCATCTATTGATTTTGGTGCATGTCCCGATCCCTAGGCCCCTTGTTAGTGGTGCAGAACAAAAGGCCTGACAAGGACAGCTGTCTAGTCCTCCAGATGAGACGAAAAACCGAGGTCCCGTGTATATATTGGAATGCACGTAAAAGATCCCCTGGCAGTTGGAATTCGATATAAGAGTAGGCGATAGTGCCGCTGCCCGGGCAAAATTTCCCTCATAGCACACTGTATGGCGTATGCCCGTCTTCATTAGCCCAGTATAGGAGCAGAACAGTAGGACGTTAAACCCCATTTCATTTCATTTCCGATCCCCAGGGGCAAACCATGCCCAATTTTTCAGTTTATTGTATACAGGCCTCAATTCTGAAAGGATCATCCTGGAACTCGGCAACTATTTGGTGCTTGATCCGACCCCCTTGGGCAGTGCCACACCCACTTTCTTGTTAATATTTTGTCTGTAAATAATCTAAAGGTTGCAATTATTAATGTATTTTGTTCCATTTTGGCATGATCCATCTTAGGGTTGTAACTATTTATATTGGTCCATATCCAAACCCCAGGGGCAGAGCCAGGTCAATTTTTGTGGTTTTTGTCTACAAGTTGGAATTCTGAATGGATCATCTTGGAAGTTGGCATATCTATTCCATATACCGTAAGGACAACAACTTGCCCCTACCCCCAGGGACGGTGTCACACCCACTTTTTTGTTAATATTTAGTCTGTAAATTTAGCAAAACAAGCCCAACACCTAGACTTCCTTGTTTCTTGTCATATTACAGTTGTTGCAGCTATTTCATATTCTTCATTTTAAAAAGTACCATATCAATCAAAGCAGGAATGTGGACGTATATTGCAGTGGTAGCGATGCTCTCGTTGATTATAGGTTCTCCATATTACAAAATCCAATCTCCTGCATGTAAGGCAGTGTTATGAGAAGTTTGGAATTGTCTGCTAAAAACAAGTCAAACTTCATATCTAAAAGGTGTTTATTTATGTAGATATATTACAATATAAAACAGTTTATACACGATTGCACTAAATTAAAAATATACATAAATAGATTAAAACGATATGGAGAGATACAATAGAAGACAGAATGACGAAAAAAGGCACTTTTGGCATTATAAACTCTCACAGAGAATTCAACGAAATGTGAGTAGAAATTGTATTTGAGGGAACTGAAATAAAATTATGATAAAAACATTGATTAATCAAGGTACAAATATATTAAAGGCACCTTCTGAATCACACTTTTGTAAAATAAACATATTTTTGGCTTAATGCCAGGAGCATTATAAAAATCTCATTTTTTCACAACTTTTACATAAAATTTTTGAAATTCACTATTGGTGATCAGTTCAATAAGTGAGTTCCTTCCCTTTTAGGTATATTTTAACTCTCAAATATAAACAAATCTACTCTTGATTGTGGGAAGGGAAGGGGGTACGTAGTTATAAATACATGTCTAAACTGAACACTGCATAAATCTGTAGATATATTTCTTATATTACAAATCCATTATAAAAGATAGGTTGCCAGGCAACGAAACATACGCCCACAGCAGCTATATCGTCCGGGCAGTCAACAAGAGTTGTCGCATATTTTTACTTTTTTCGGTAATGAAACATTTTGATGCATTAAAATCTGATTAAGAGTAACAACTCATTAAGTAATTATCGGAAAACAATTAGAATTTGTTTGGTTTTTATAAAGTTCGGGCCCAGGCTAACGTTTAGTATACGAAACTTTTAACATCATGGATATAGCTGTTCAAGTCATAAAGATTCATTGAAAATCAATATACTTGTTCGTCTCAAGACCTTAAACTCTGTGTATCGATCTGAAGTCAATCGGATGATAACTTTAGCCTCTAGAGCATCACAAGATTTTTCAAAGTGATCAAGGGCCATAACTTTGGCAGTAATTATCGGAATTCACTGAAAATCAATAGGCGTCTTCAACTCATGACCTTAAACACTGTGTATAAATTTAAAGTCAATCGGGTATTAACTATAGCCTCTAGAGCGTCCACAAGATTTTTCAAAGTGATCAAGGGCCAGAACTCTGGCAAAAATTATCGGAAATCGCTGAAATCATTAGGCTTCTTTGTCTCATGACCTTAAACACTGTGTATAAATTTAAAGTCAATCGGATATTAACTTTAGCCTCTAGAGCATCCACAAGATTTTTCAAAGTGATCAAGGGCCATAACTCTGGCAGTAATTATCGAATAACACTGAAATTCAATAGGCTTCTACGTCTCATGACCTTAAACACTTTGTATAAATTTAAAGTCAATCGGATATTAACTTTGACCTCTAGAGCGTCCACAAGATTTTTTGAAGTGATCAAGGGCCATAACTCTGGCAGTAATTATCGAAAATCGTTGAAAATCAATAGGATTCTTCGTCTCATGACCTTAAACTCTGTGTATAAATTTAATGTCAATCGGATATTAATTTTGACCTCTAGAGCGTCCACAAGATTTGTTGAAGTGATCAAAGGCCATAACTCTGGCAGTAATTATCGAAAATTGCTGAAAATCAATAGGCTTCTTCGTCTCATGACCTTAAACACTGTGTATAAATTTAAAGTCAATCGGATATTAACTTTGACCTCTAGAGCGTCCACAAGATTTTTTGAAGTGATCAAGGGCCATAACTCTAGCAGTAATTATCAGAAATCACTGAAAATCAATAGGCTTCTTCGTCTCATGACCTTAAACGCTGAGTATAAATTTAAAGTCAATCGGATATTAACTTTAGCCTATAGAGCATCCACAAGCAATTGTGGACGCCGGACCGACGGACGGACGAGGGCGGCAACAATATACGACCACATTTCAATGTGGGCGTATAAAAATAAATAAAAGAATGTACAATTCCTATCTACATTTCATAATAAGTGAGTAATTAACAGTTGACATGAGATGAACATATTTCAATATCTCGTAACTAAGGAGTACTTGGGAACATCAATTCATTTTGAAAATAATTGAGGGTTTTTTTTTAAAATATTAAATGCATTTTAATTTGATATTCACAAGAATTCAATTGTCCACTTTTAAATTAAAAAAAAAGTTATTAAAAGGAGCAGCATATAACTGAACAAGTTTAGTATATAAAATTACATAGAAAGAAAATGAACATAAATTTGGTAAAATTGTTCTATATCATAATAATTACTATATATTTTAAAAGACCAGTTATTGGTATAAAAATAATTTCTTCAACATCAAACAATCATCCCTGCTATTGCGATTCCATGGAAGAGTTAATTATGGACTCTCAGTATTAATTCTGTCACACATTCGATGTTTGAACTTCATAAAAACGATCCTGGGCTAACATATTCTGCAAGTAAAAATATAAATGGAATAAAAGGTGGTTCGGCATCCTACTTTTCTGCGCCAAACGTCAAGGGTTCTTTTACCACACGCCAACCTCGTTTTTTCAGCCCATCTGAACGTCTAGATGATGCACGGGGGGGAAACCATGAAATGATAATCTAGAAAACCTTCTTAGCCAACATTGAGAGCCAACCAGAGACAATATATCATGAAGTTTATCAAATGTTGTGGGCTCAATGTACAGCTTACTCCAAATAAATGTGAAACAAAAAGATGACTGTGGGCTTGCTATATATATTACATGAAGTCATCTGAAACTATTGGCGATTACCATATAGATTGCAAAATGATGTGAAGTTCAACTTCAAAGAAATGCAAACTGGTGGTGTCAGAAAATGAAGAAAGAAGGGAAACATAGGTTGCCAGGCAACAAAACATACACCCACAGCAGCTAAATGGTCTGAGAAGTCCACAAGGGTTGTCACATATTTATTCTTTTGTAGGTAATGGGTGCATTTACAAGACACGGATATCAATTTTATAAAGATCAGATGTTGTCAGAGTCACAAGGTTCAACAAAGTGAATAGCAAATGATACACACGCTGAAATTAATAAATAAACTCTATTAACTAGACACACGTGATATAAATATAATGAATATTTTATGGGAATTCTTTCTTTGATTTCTGATTTTACAATACGTTTACATGTATTTATTTTTTTATATTTTATTTCCAATTTATGTTTTTCAAATTGAATACTGATATAATTACTCGAAATTGACATGTCTCGCAACCATTCTCCACACAAGTCTTACTATCCAGCATTCAACTCTGCCGTCGGCTTGCGACCACACCAATTGACCTGGAGATCACTGGTCATGTGATTAACTACATGATGAAAATGGCATGTCAGAAAAGTTCCTGCGTTATAAACACTTGATGCGGCGGGATGATTTACCGAATACTACACCAATATCACCACATACTACCAAATACTACAACATAATGGTGCAAAATTACCATATTACTTGACTTTTTTTCAAAAATAGTGAGATATATCGTGGGAAGTGTACTTCAAATGTGATTAATGATGTCTGGCTGTTCCATTTGCCTCCCTATATCACCCAAATCAAGCAAATAACCCAATACTACCAAATACTTATCAAATACTACCCAATATTATAAAATACAAACCTGATATCGTCAATTAGCAGCACATCAGTATAATAATTGTAACGCAGTTATCACCCTTTACAACCGATAAATGGATTTTAGATTGCTATTCAGATTAATCATCTTGTTGGGCTTTGCAGTTTGTTTCCAAGACGACAAAGTTAAAATAATGAAAACAAGTTATTATAGATGCCCCCGCTATAGTTTATTCATACAATATTACATGTTAAAAGCATATCAATATATAACATAACATAAAATAAAAAGTTTTAAAAGAAATTAATAAAGATTTAAAAATGCATTAAAATGAAATCAGTTTATAAAATAAAGAGCCAAACATTCAAATAAAAGAATATTTTAGAGGTTGATTTCAAAATGTTCATTTAATGGTCTCGTGGCCTACTCAAAAGTCTTATTATACTATATTTCTTTTTCCTGGTGTTTTTAGTATGAAATGAAATGATGTTTAACGTCCTACTGTTCTGCTCCAAACTGGGCTGATAAGGGAAATTTTGCCTGGACAGCGGCACTACAGCCTACTCTTATATCGAATTCCAACTGTCAAGTGATCTTTTACGTGCACGCCAATGTGTACACAGGACCTTGGTTTGTCATCCCATCCGAACGACTAGACAGCTGTCCTTGTCAGGCCTTTTTTTTTTTTTTTTTTTTTTTAGTATGAGAACACGCTGTCTACAAGTGCACGTCATCCTGTAAAAAATCATTTGGGTATAATATGTCAGGAAAGCACACAAATTTATATTTATATCTGTCTTATAGTCAGGGGCCATAATTCAGGAAGTTACGGTCCGAAAAGAACCGAGATCTTTGGGTTATAAACTTACATTTCAAGTTTCAATAAAATTGGATAAAAATTGTGACCTCTATAGGGTCCACAAGCTAACCAGCGGTTGCCAGTCAGGATACGCCCACATTTTGCAAGACATGGATAGAGAACAAGCTAAACAAAAGATAGGTTGCCAGGCAATGAAACATACGCCCACAGCAGCTAAATCGTCCAGGTAGTTAACAAGAGTTGCACATATTTTTACTTTTTTCGGTAATGAAACATTTATAATACACTAACAACTCATGAAGTAACTATCAGAAAACCATTAGACTTTGTTTGGTTTTTATCAAGTTCTGCCCCATGCTAATATTTAGTATACAAAACTTTTAACATCATGGATTTAGCTGTTCAAGTCATAAAAATTCATTGAAAATCAATTTACTTGTTTGTCTCAAGACCTTAAACACTGTGTATAAATTTAAAGTCAATAGGATATTAACTTTAGCCTCTAGAGCGTTCACAAGATTTTTTGAAGTGATCAAGGGTCATAACTCTGGCAGTAATTATTGCAAATCGGTGAAAATCAATAGACTTCTTCGTCTCATGAACTTAAACACTGTGTATAAATTTAAAGTCAATCGGATATTAACTTTAGCTTCTAGAGCTTCCACAAGATTTTTTGAAGTGATCAAGGGCCATAACTCTGGCAGTAATTATCGGAAATCGCTGAAAATCAATAGGCTTCTTCTTCTCATGACCTTAAACACTGTGTATAAATTTAAAGTCAATCGGATATTAACAATTTTTCGTACAATCAGGGGCCATAATTCAGGAAGTTTCGATTCGATATGTACAAAAATGGAAAGGAACCAAGATATTTGGGTTATAAACATGTATTTCAAGTTTCATCAAAATCATACCAAAATTGTGTCCTCTAGAAGATCCCAAACCTTGATATACCATATATTTACACTAATTGCGTAGGAGGGGTGTCCATTTTGTCTGGCAGTTTTAGTCTGATTATCACGAAATTCGAACCCAACCGTCATTATGGTGTAATGGTGATATATTCAAACGATTTTTTAAATCGGATAAAAATTGTGACCTCTACAGGGTCCACAAGCTAAAAACGCGAAATTCCGTACAAACAGGGGTCACAATTCAGGAAGCTATGGTCCGATATGTGAGAATATTGAAAGGAACCGAGATCTGTGGGTTATTAACATTCATTTCAAGTTTAAACCAAATCGGATAAAAATTGTGACCTCTACAGTGTTCACAAGCTAAAAACGTGATTTTTCGTACAATCAGGGGCCATAATAATCCATGAAGTTACAGTCCGATACATGCCAATATCGAAAGGAACAGAGATCTTAGGGTGATAAACCTATATTTCAAGTTTCATTGAAATCCGATAAAAATTGGGTGATAACGTTTGTTGTTCGAGCGTTCTCAAGTTTTAACAAAGTGAAATAAGGGCCATAACTCTAGATGTAATTAACCGAAATTTGCTGAAACTCAATAGGCTTGTTCATTTTACTAATTTAAACGAAACATATAAATTTCATACATATCGGTTGATAACTTTTGTCGTTAGAGCATTCACAATGTACAACAAAGTGAATAGGGGCATAAATCACGGCGTAATTAACGGAAATTGCTGAAATTCAATAGGCTTTTTCCTTTCACTAATCTAAATGATGCATATAAATTTCATACAGATCGGATGATAACTGTTGTCATTAGAGTGTTCACAAGATTCAACAAAGTGAATCAAGGGCCTGAACGGAAATTGCTGAAATTCAATAGGCTTCTTTGTTTTACTAATTTAAATGATGCATATAAATTTCATACAGATCGGTTGATAACTTTTGTCATTAGAGCATTCACAAGGTACAACAAAGTGAAACAAGGGCCATAACTTGCTGAAATTCAATAGACTTCTTCGTTTCAGTAATGTAAATGATGCATATAAGGCTGCGGTTAATTAATTGTTTGTTTCTCATGACCGGCCCACATGTCCGTTTTCATCAGTAATAATTACGCACTTCCATAATTATTTGGTCAAATTTAGTGAGGTCCAAAATTTGTCCTTTAAAACTATATTTGTTTGCCTTTAAATACGAACAATGAATTGACGCATTAAAATCCACTATTTATCGATGAACATGACACCGTAGGTGATAAGTAAAGTAGGCTAGTATGTGAAAAATTACACGGAGTCCATCCGGAAAAAAGAGGTGATAAAGCCGTATCATATCTGTCATCAATAGCTACAACATTCACCAAAGACCACATATATACTCTATAAGGCACTTGCAATTGTCATTTGTAATAAAATTCACAGAAAGATATGTCTTTTCATTCCTGCTAAATTATTTTATTTCCTGACTAGCAACGGTCTCAGAACTGCCGCCATGAGATAGCCTTGATCATGACATACCGACTGGTTGACACTGCTTCACGCCTTTCACAGTATTTTTTTAACAACACTATATAAACAGTCTCAAAAGGACACAGAGATACAAATAAATGTAAACATTTTGATTAAGATAGACGAAATAATAAAAGTATTTTTATTATGATGCCACGTGCCGATGATGGGTTCAAAGTTGACGACAATTAACATACGGGTTATTGCCATGGCATAGGTACTATCTTCCCTCACGGCTAGAGAAACGAACACGTGTGTAGTAAATTCTGTTAATTAATCTAACTTATTTTGTATTTAAAAATCCAAGGGTATGCTTTTAATTATTTATGTCAGAACAAATCATTAACCAGTTTGGAACAGGTCATTTCGTAACCTGTCAAAGTAGGGAAGGATAAAGAAATGAAATGTCAAGAATGAATGAATTAACAAACCGTTAACTTATTATGATCAAGTCTTCCGATGTGCCCGGATATTGTGCAACGGATATTTTAATCTATAAATATTGATATAAATGTGAAGAAATCTCGGACACTGGTTACCGTTGGGTTGGATTTCCAACGACCAAATAACTGACATTAGTTATTGCTGAAATAGAAACAGCATT